ATTCCTGCATTCTTCACATCCTTCAAGTCTCAATTGAAGTGTTACCTCTTCAGTTAAGCCTTCTCTGACTATCCCAAGAATTCCTTTCTTGATCTTCTTCTCTATTGTCTCCTACCATAGTCCTTATTTATTCCTCTAGACCCTAAAATAGAAGAAGGCATGCAATGTCTTACTAATCATGAGAAATCCACTGCCTAGTAATACAGAGCAGATGTAGGTTCTCTTTCTTTACTCAGGAAATATTTGAGCATATATATGCTCAGTGAAATAAGAACATTGTCCCTCTGGGCAGGAACTTGAACTTTTGTTGTGAAAAACTCATATAGGAAGCATTGTGTAGTGAGAAAACTATGAGAAAAGATAATAACAGGAGTATAATACAACTGTGAATGGTCACTGACTCAATTTGCAAAGAAGCTTGCAAGTAAGATTTATGAGTGTGCTAGATATAAGGAAGGTATCAGGTTAAGTCTGGACTTTGACAAAACAGAACTATTTGGGATGCATAGAAACAATAATGTCACTACTTGAAAATGGGAAAAAGACAAGACACCATGGCATATAATTTTCTCTATGGCATGTAATTTTAATCAGGCTCTATACAAATCAGAGTAGCAAGGATTTGTGATTCAATCATGCACATCCATACATTTAACTGCATGCAAATAATTTTAAATCTAAAAATACCACGAATAAATAAATAACTGCTCAGTTTTACTTCTTGAGTTGAGAGGTTCTGGTCTTTGGGAATAAGGACAACCATTGATCCACCACTAAGCTAAAATAAATATCTAAGGTAGATAATTAAACACTCACCATTGACAAGTGTGAAGTTTATAATTTAATGTAATTTACTATAGCTTTTCAAATATGTATTTTAATAAAGAATTTTAATAAAACTTGGTGATCTAATGTATATAAGGTAGAAATATAGGTATTTATGATTCAGGAATTTGACTGTGTCTAAACTGATTTCCATATATATTTAACATTTGTAGTGATTATGCACATTGTGACACAGACGCGGTAGATCTATGTCTTCTTTCATTTTGTATGTGTGTCCAAACATCAACTGAAATCATCTAAATGAAAAGATACAAGAAAGTACCATTCCAATTGCACACTGGTTCTCCAGAAAGAGCAGATAAAATGTGCTACTGAAACAAATTACAGCCCACTCTTTGCACTTACATTTCCTGCAATTGCCTTTTAAAATTAAACAAAAGGTGACCTGCTCTTATGGCATAAAACAATGCAGTTCAGAACACAATAAACAGACTTTGGTTTCTGGTCTGACATGCAAAGACCTTGGAAGTAATCAATCTCATTCTCCCAACAAGAATAAAACCAAATCGAAAACCAACAACTCTCTTAGCTCAATCAGATAATAGAAATCATAAGACGAACCTGGAGAAACAGACAGGCAGATGCCGAGAATCATGGCTCACCAGGAGCAAATGCAAAAAGGCAGATGTCCACAGCTGAAGTCAGTGTTGGTAGCAATTCTTTAAATATAATTCACGAATTCCTAGAGGCTCAGAGTGGACTAGCTTTAGAGTTTAAAACTCTGAAGAAGCCCAGTCTTGGAGAGTCCCCACACTTTTCAGAGCTTTACTTGCAACATTGCTACCAGGTACTCACCATGAAGATCACAGAAAAGTCCTTTAGTTATTTTTCTCAGGATAGATGGGACAAGTAGCCATTTTTGAAATATGCTTAGAGCACCCTCTTCTCCTCAAAAAGGACTACCTACCCTCAAAGGAAACTATTTTACCAGAGCTTAATTCTGATGGGGTTTTGCCAAAGCTCAAATGACCCGGGGAAGGGAAACACCCAATTCCAGTCTCTTTAGACTTTGACATGGGGAAAACAAATATGTAACTTCCGTTCACTAAAAGACTGAGACCTGTTAATACTGCAGCAATAGTGCTCTTGCAAAACAGCAAGGAGTTAAAGTTAAAAGAACTGCAAGGCTCAGATCCCATTTCTGGAGGCCATCAACACCCAAAGACAACAGGGGACAAAAACAAGAACACTATAAGCAATTTTATCCTCTGATATCACAGATACAGTAAACACAGCTTAATTCTTGGCCAAATAAACTTTAAACTTTACATAAAAGATCTACCTACCTCAGATTCCTTTTATCTGATATATTTACCATTCAATAAAAGTTACATTGAAAGGCAAAATAACAGTCTGGTGAAACAAAGCAAGCATCAGAGCCAGATTCAGAATTGGCAAAGATTTCTAATTACCAGACTTGAAGTTTAAAATGCTTGTGATTAATAGGCTAAGGACTCTAAGGGAAAAAGTAAACAATATGCAAGAACAGATGGGTAATAAGCAGAGGGATGACAATGCTAAAAAAAATCTAAAGGAAATAGAAATAAAAACACCCTAAGAAAAATGAATGCTTTGATGGGCTCATCAATAGATTAAGCATAGCTAGGAAAGAATTGGTGAACTCAAAACATGTCAATATGAACTCCCAAAAGTTAAATGCATAGAGATCAAATATTTTTTTTAAGATGGAACAGAATACCTAAAGACTGTTAGATAACTTATAAAGTTGTAGCATACACATAATGGGAATACCAAAAAGAGAAGGAAGCAGGAACAAGAGAAATATTTGAACTAATAATAGCTGAAAATTTTTCAAAATTAATAACATGCACCAAACTACAAATCAGGAAACTAAAAGAACACTTAGTATAAATACCAGAGACTATATATCTAGGCATATAATATTAAAACTGTAGAGAATTAAAAACAAAGAGAAAACCTTGAAAGAAGGTCAGTTATTGGGGCATTATATAGAGAGAAAGAGTACGAATTACATAAAACTTATCTTCAGAAACTATGCAAGAAAAAGACAGTGGAATGAAATATTTAGGTTGAAAGAAAAAATCTACTAACCTAAAATTCTGCATCCAGTGAACAATTCTATGCCTACAAATTTGATAGTATAGATGAAATGGACCAATTTCTTAGAAGACAAACATCCAAAACTCTCACAAGGAAGAAATAGACTATCTGAGTAGGTCTGTATCTAATAAATAGTAATTAACAAACTTCCTTTAAAAGCTCAAAGCCCATTCACTGATGAAGTCTAACAAACATTTAAGATAGAAAGTCTCTACAATATTTTCAGTAAAATAAACTGGAAATATTGAATACTTTCTAGCTCACATTATAAGCCAACAGTGAGTGAAGAGTAAAACCAGACCTAGACATAAGATAGGAAAACTATAGACCAATATTTTTCATTAATATGAATTTTAAAATTCCTCAACAAAATATTAGCAAATAAAAAATTCAATAATATATAAAATTAATTATACATATTACCAAGTAGGATTTATCCCAGGTATGTCAGACTGTTTCAACATTGAAAACAAATTAATGTAATACATCTCATCAACCCTAAAAATGAAAATCATATGATCATATCAATAGATGCAGAAAATTCACTTGACAAAATCTAACATCTTCTTACAACTCTTAGAAAATAAGAAATAGAGGGAAACCCCCTCAACTTGATAAATAACATCTACCGAAAACCAACAGTTAACATCAAACAATGCTGAGAAATTAAATGCCTTTCCCCTGATATAGAGTAAAAGAGAAGGCCATACCTCTCACCACATGCCTATTCAACATGATATTAAAAGTCCTGGCTAATGGAATGACACATAAAAAGAAAATAAAAAGCAAACAAATTGGGGATGAAAAAATAAAACTATATTTTTTGGCATATGACATGATTGTCTATGTAGAAAAACCCAAAGAAATGACAAGAACAAGACAACCTCGTGGAACTAATAAGTGATTATTTTCAAGGTTGAGGCATCTAAGATTGTCATAAAAAAGCCACTTGCATTCCTATAAGCCAACAATGAACAATTGGAATTTGAAATTAAAAACCTACCATTTACATCAACACCAAAATAATGAAATACTTGGGTATAAATCTAACAAAATAATACAAAATGTATAGAAGAAAAATAATAAAACTCTGAAGAAAGAAACAACTAAATAAATGGAGAGATATCCCATGGTGAAGGATAAGAACCTCCAACATGCTTAGATGTTAGTCTGTTCCAAATTGATCAACAAATTCAACATGATTTCAATTAAAATCTTGGCAAATAGCCTGGCTCGGTGGCTCAGCCTGTAATCTCATGCCTTTGGGAGGCTGAGGTGAGTGGATTGCCTGAGCCCACGGGTTTGAGAAGCACCTGGGCAGAGAGACCTCATCTCTACAATACATCAAAAAATCAGATGGTCGTGGTAGCACATGCCTTTAATTCCGGCTACTTGGAAGGCTGAGGTGGAAGGATCGCCAGAGCCCAGCAGGTCGAGGCTGCAGTGGCTGGTAGCAGCCACTGCACTCCAGTTTGGGTGACAGAGTGAGACTCCAACTCAAAAAAAACCCAAAAAACAAATAAAATCTCAGCAAGTTATACACCAACAAACTGTAAAGTTTACGTGGAAATACAAAGATCAAGAATATCCATTTTAATACTGAGAAGAACAAACTTAGAGGACTGACACTACCTGGCTTCAAGAATTACTATAAAGTTACAGTGATCAAGATATTGTGGTACCAGTGAAATAACTGACAAGTTGATCAGTGCAACGAAATGGAAAGCCCAGAAGTAGGCCCACACAAGCATCTGATCTTTGACAAAGGAACGAAGACAATAAAATAGAGCAATGATAGCCTTTCAACTAATGATGCTGGAACAACTGGACATCCACAATTAAAAAAAAAAAAAGGAAGGTGTGTAGCTGCAGATCTTATTCCTCTCACATAAATTAACTTAAAATGGATCACAGGTCTAAATATAAAACACAAAGCTAAAAACTTCTAGACAATAAACAGAAGAAAATCGAGTTGTCCTTGGGTTTGGCAATGAGTATTTAAGTAACACCAAAATCATTATCCATGAAGGAGCAAACTGAACAGTTTGGTAAAATTTAAAATTTATCTTCCTTCCTGCTTCGTCGGCTCGTTTCGCGGTATGGGGCTGAGGCTCCTGTCCGCCAGTACCACCTGAGGATCCCGGAAACCGCCCCCGCGATGGAAGAGGACCAGGAGCTGGAGAGAAAAATGTCTGGATTGAAGACCTCAATGACTGAAGGCGAGAGGAAGACAGCCCTGGAAATGGTCCAGGCGGCTGGAACAGATAGACACTGTGTGACATTCGTGTTGCATGAGGAAGACCATACCCTAGGAAATTCTCTGCGTTACATGATTATGAAGAACCCAGAAGTGGAATTTTGTGGTTACACTACGACCCATCCTTCAGAGAGCAAAATTAATTTACGCATTCAGACCCGGGGTGCTCTTCCAGCTGTTGAGCTATTCCAGAGAGGCCTGAATGAGCTCATGAATGTCTGCCAACATGTGCTTGACACGTTTGAGGCCAGCGTAAAGGACTATAAGGATCAGAAAGCAAGCAGAAATGAATCCGCTTTCTAGTCCCTTATGCCATGTTCACGGAGGACTGTCCTTATGGCTACTCTTCCTAACCGCGCAGAACCCAGAATTAGTTTGTGATGACAGCATACTCTATACTTCACAAAGTTCTAGCTTTTGACCATTACTGCTGTTGGATTCCCTGCAAGAACCTTTGTATTCTTCTAATAAATTCCCTTTTTTATTTAAAAAAAAAAATTTAAAATTTCTGCTCTGTGAAAGACTATCAAAAGAATGAAAAGAAAAACAAAAGATACAGAGAAAATACTTACAAAAGATATATCTGATAAAGAAAGTTTAGTCAAAACATATAAAGAACTCTTAAAATTCAACAATAATAAGAAACACAATAAAAATGAGTGAGTTGGACAGATAATATGCCAAAGAAGACATATTTATGGAAAATAAAGCATATAAGAAGTCTGGCAGCCTATATCAAACAAGAATTGAAAATTATGAGATTTACAATGAGATGCCACTACACACCTACTAAAAGAATCAAAACCCAAATCACTGACAATATCAAATGCTGGTGAGGACAGACTCTTGCTCATTGCTGGTGAGAATGCAAAATGATACAATCACTTTGGAAGACAGTTTGGCAGTTTTTTATAAAGCTGAATGTGGTTATCACTATACCATCCAGCAATTGTGCTCCTTGATATTTATCCAATTGGTATGAAAACTTATCTGCACACAAATGTTATAGCAGTTTTATTCATAATTGCAGACACTTGGAAATAACCAAGATGTACTTCAATAGCTAAGTGG